AGCACTCTACCCTTTCTATTTGTTTTCTGTATGTCGTTTTCTATTATAAATTGCAGTCCAATAACCCGACCGGTCATCAGTTTAGATAGTTTTTCGAAAAACCGTCGATAATTGATTTCATTTACATTATATTCTTCTTCTTCTTCTTCGTCTAGCCATTCACGTCCACATCTGAACATAAGCCTCTTCAAGTCTTCCTTTCCATTGTTTTTTATTGTACGCTACTTGTAGCCAATTTTTCCCGGCAGTCCTTTTCAACTCATCTGTCCATCTCATAGGAGGCCTGCCTCTGGGTCTTTTGTGTTGGTATGGTCTCCAGGTTAAAATTGATCTGTGCCATTTGTTTAGATCGCTCCTAGCTACATGTCCAGCGTATTCCCATTTCAACATTAATGATTTTTGCACCACATCGGTGACTTTAGTTTTCTGTCTTATCCATGTGTTTGTTTTCTTGTCCTTAAGTGATATACCTAGCACTGCTCTTTCCATCGCGTGTTGAGTGACTCTAAGTATATTCATATTCTTTTTTGTGATTGTCCATGTTTTGTACCGAAGTTAATATCGGAATAATGCATGCATCAAAAACTTTAGATCTAAGATGTAATTGAATTTGTTGATTTCTGAGTATACAGTTCAGTTTACCGAATGCTGCCCAAGCTAACTTTCTTCTTCTTTTTATTTCTTCCGTTTGAATTTCCCTATTTAGGATTATTTTTTGTCCTAAGTATATATATTCTTCAACTTTTTCTATAACTTTATCGTTTATTATTGTCACGGTGTCTTCAGAGTGCATGACTTCTGTTTTGTTTAAATTCATTTTCAGTCCTATTTTAGAAGATTCGGTATGTAGTTCTAAAAGCATGGTTTGCATTTCTTGTAGGTCAGTAGCTATCAGGATTATGTCATCTGCAAATCGTAGATTACTGAGGTAGCGGCCATTGATGTTTATTTATTTATATTTCCAATTTAGGTTTTTAAAAACGTCCTCCAAAACTAAGGTGAACAGTTTGGGTGATAAAGTATCTCCCTGTTTAACTCCCCTGTTTAATGGTACAGGGTTCGTGTGTTCATTTTCATTTAGGTAGTATGTAGCTGTAGCTTGGTTCATAGTTTCTTTTATTAAGTTAATATATCTGCTGTCTATTCTACAATTTTGCATTGCGTTTATTACGGCCGTGTGTTCTATGGTATCGAAAGCTTTTTCGTTGTCTACAAATGCTAGGAAAACTGGAAACTTGTATTCGTTACATTTTTCTATTAATATTTTTGTGGTTAACAGGTGATCGGAAGTTGAGTAGCCTTTTCTAAAACCTGCCTGTTCATATGGTTGGTATTCGTCTAATTTCCTTGTTAGTCGAGTAGTTATGACTTTGGTGAGTATTTTAAACAGGTGTGACAGTAGGCTGATGGGTCTGTAGTTTTCCAATTTTCGACTATCACCTTTCTTGTGTAATAAGATTACTTTAGAGTTGTTCCAGCTCTTAGGGACTTTGCCCTGATGTAAACAACTGTCCACAAGTTTAGTTACAATTGCTTCCTGAATTGTAATTAGTTCCTTACCTCCTTATTATATCATATCTGTGGTAATACTGTCTTCTCCTGCAGCTTTATTTCTCTTCATGTTTTCCAATGCTGTAGTTACCTCTGAAATTGTTACTTTTGGCATTATTTCTGATCCAACATTTTTTATTAATTTCCGTGCTGGTCTCATCTCATCATCTTGTTGATGTGATCTGTAAAGTTCTGTGTAAAATTCTTCTATTCATGTCAGTATGTTTTCTCTACTTGTGATTTCATTTTCGCCTTTTCCCATTAATGATATCATCTGACGTCGTTCTAGTGTCGGTCTGAGGCATTTCATACTCTTATTTTTTTCAATAGTTGTTGTTATTAATTTTTCGTTTTCTTTTCTTTTTTGTTGTCTGATTCCTTTTCTAATCTGCCTATTCAGTTCTCTATATTCGTCGGTTCCCCTTTTGTTAGATTTATTTAAGATCTTCCTTCTTTCTATTTGTTGTAATATTTCTTTGTCTAATTCATTGTATGTTGTTTTTGGTTTTTTCAGTTGCAGAAGGCTTTTATTCACTGTTTCGGTAATAAGGTTATTCAAATCATCAATATCATTGGAGTTTATCTGCTGCATGCTAACTTGATTTAATGCATGCACTATCTTTTTATTAAATTCACTAGTTTTGATTTCTTTAGATGTCCATTTGTATCTTTTTTCATGTATTCTTTTTCTTTCTAGTTTTTTGTTAATTATTAGTTTTGTTCTTATTAGTCTATGATCGCTTCCTAGGTCAAACTGATTTAATACTGATACGTCTTCTACTAGGTTTCTATTCTTCGTTAAGATATAATCTATTTGATTCTTTGTCTTTTTATCGGGACTCATCCATGTCCATTTTCTGCTTGGTTTTTTATTAAAAAAGGAGTTCATTGAGTACATGTTATGTTCATTCATGAAATTGAGAAGCATTTCTCCTCTATCGTTTCTTTTCCCGTAGCCATAGTTACCAATTAAATGTTCATAATCTTCCTCTTTTTTGCCCAATGTACATTATATTATAATTTATATTATATTTATATTATAATGCAAAACGGTTGTAATATGATTAATAAATGGTTAATGAAGGAATCGTGCTGAAGTACGACAGAAATTCGCATTTATGTTAGTTCTGCTCCTCAACAATCGAGACAGGTGTAAAAATATGGCATTAACTCAAACCTGTATAAAATGTAAGACTGCAAGTCACTATGGTTGTGTTTAACAATTAAAAAATATAGTTACCATAACCAAGAAGGGAACAATATATGCTATGGAAATAAAATTAGATTACGTGAGAATGATATAGATTTTTACATCCTGCGTAAACGCCGTATTTGTACTAAGACAAATCACAGAAAAGGCCATCGAGTACAATAAATCAGCAATATCTATGTTTTACAGACCTGACAAAGGCTTTTGATCGCATCCAAGTCGAAGACGTCTTACACCTTCTGTATAAAAGGAACATACCAATCAATATTATACAAACCATCGAAAATATCTACCTCCAAAATCGAATACAGGCGAAGATGAATGGAAAACTAATGCAGTGTATACCAGTACAAAGCGGAGTCAGACAGGGTGACTCGTTGAGCCCACTTCTCTTTAATATAATAATGTACGAAATAATACAAGCAGTACGCAAAGGTCATGACTACACAATGGAGAACAAAGAAATCCAAATATTTGTTATGCAGACGACGCCGCATTAATCGCCGAAACAGAAGATAAGCCCCAAAGAATATCTTCAATACAACAGCTAATAAATACAATATATTAATATCAGCAGACAAAACCAAATGTATGACAACCTCTAAATGTCCACTACGGTGTAAAATCGAAATTGATGGCAATCTAGAAGAACAAACACCTAAGACAAGACACAAAAACAAGAATCTATAAAGAAGCAATTGGACCTATTTTAAAATACGGCGCAGACAAGATCTGACACATCTAAAACGAGACGACTGCTAGAAACAACAGAGATGAAAATACTCCGACGAATATCAGGGAGAAGTCTATTGGATGGGGAGAGAAGCGAAAACATAAGAAGAGTATGCAATATAGAAGACATAAATGGATGGGTGACAAAACGAAAACAGGAGTGGAACAAACATATTAGTAGAATGACAGAGGATATCTTCTTCTTCTTAGTCGTTAACCTGATGCAGGTATCGTGATATTATGAAGCTGTTAGGTAATTTTTCCAATGTTCCTCCACGTTTTTCTATCTTCTGCCAATCTAGCACATTCTGAAAATGAAGCGCCAATGGTAGCAACAATATGGTCCGTGTATCGTGTAGGAGATCTACCTCTACTTCTTTTGCCTTCTACTTTTCCCTGGATGGTAAGTTTCTCAAGACCATTTCTTCGAAGCACATGTCCAAAATAGCTTATTATCTGTTCTGTTATTTGTGTTCTTAGTCTTTTCTTTATGTTTAGCTGGACCAGTATGGATTCATTTGTTCTTTGGGCCACCCATGGTATTCTCAGCATTCGTCTCCAGCAGTACATCTCAAATACATCTATGTTCTTTTTGTCTTTCTCAGAAAGGGTCCAGCATTCCGATACATAAGTAAAAACTGGAAAAACCAGACTTCTTACTAGTCTCATTTTTGTATCGGTAGTAATTTCATGGCTTTTCCAAATTTTTGTTAATTTTGCCATAGCGCTTTTTGCGATTGCTGACCGCCGCTTTATTTCTTTAGTACAGCCTCCTTTGTTGGTTATTAATAAGCCCAGATACACAAATTTATCTACAACAGCGATATTGTTTATCCTAACCAGATGATGTTGATTGTTGTTAGCTCTGTCAATTATCGTGATTCTCGTTTTATCCCTGTTTATTTTAAGGCCCATCGTTAAGCTTACGTCTTCTGTCCATTGTAGCAGGTGAATCAATTCAGTTTCAGAACTAGACAGAGGATATAATAGTACGAATAGTGCAAGATGTCACCAAATGGACGAAGAAGTATTTTCAGACCAAGAAAAAGATGGTGCGACAATTTAGGAGGTTAATATTGAAGAAGAAACAGGCTTTAAAGTCTACGTAGTAGAAGGAAAAAGAAGACATGAAATAGATTATAAAATAATTGCGTAAAAAATTAACTTTTTTGTTCATTTTCGGTATGTGATCTCGTTTTCACCCAAACGAGCTCTCTCAAGACATATAGCATCGTTGAAACTATTAGGACTAGTAATTAACACAATTTTAAAAAGAAATCAAGTTAAGTCAAAGGATTAGTTTATTGCATGAAATAAACAAATAAATAATGGCTTCATTAATCGAAACACAAAGAATCGCCATTTGTCTTTCACTCATCAAAAAAATTTCTCGAAAAAATAAATTTAATACATAATTATTTTGCTCCTAACTTTTTTTCTATATTTGTATTCGTAAATAACATGGCATCAGTTTTAATGACATAATATTAGGATTACACCTACTTACCTGGAAGAACATTATATTTTGTGTCAAAGGAGAATGATCAGGAGCAGCAACATTTCTATCCATAAAATTATTAAAATCTTTAATTAATATTTTTTTCACCAACTCAGCATCTTTAATTACAAAAATGGGTTCATCGAATACGTAAAGTCCAAAAAATGGCTTATCTATAGTATCGTAATAATATTTTAACCATTCTGAAAAACTTATTTTCATTAAAGCCACTTTGAAGAAATGGCCAAATATTGGTTGTACTTTTGGTGTGTATACTCCTCTTTCTTGAAAATATTTTTGTTTTCTTGATATATAGAAATATATATAGATAATAGAGGTGGTTAAAATTATAATTACGTCTAATATAATAGAGGATGACAGCAGCATCTGAAAATAAAAAGAAATTATTTCATCTTTTCAGTAGAGGATTTATAGTTTTAAGTGATTAAACTTCTGGTCAAAATAAAAAAGGTTATAAAATCGAAAATAAAACAATTAGTAAAAGCATGTTATGTCTAAGAATTGTATTGATTAGGTTTTTAATAAAACATCGTGTTTTTAGTGTTTATCGCGGAATAAATAAATAATAGTTTATTAAAAATGTATTGCACTTTTTAGATAGATTAGATTTAGATAGAATGTGGTTTTAATATTACTGAGTCTGGTCCTGATCCCACCGAAATATTGGTATGATCGTTAGCCACGGCCACTGACGCCGTTTTTAATACACACGGTAATTAGCTCATAGCTTCTCCATAGATTCAAACTCGATGCCTATCTATATATTTATCTATAGCCCAAAATCTATTGTGTTGAATATAAGCCTCTCCCATTTGTCTCCATTTGTCTCTGTCTTCTGTTTGTCTTTTCCACATCGAACCTGCGCTTTGCTCAATGTCATGTTTCCATCTCATTTGCGATCGTCATTTTTACCTTTTTGCAGTATATGGTCTCCAGCAGCCAATTTCTTTATTCCATCTTCCATCCTGATATATTTCGTTATGCCCAGCCCATTTCCGTTTTAATTTTAATGCATGTTCGACAACGTCTGTTGTTTTGGTTTTGCATGTCATCCACTCGTTCCTCTTTTTATCTCTCAACGATATTCCCAACATTTGTCTTTCAATAGCTCTTTGAGTTTTCTTTATTCTATCCAAGTTGCTTTTGCTACACGTCCACGTCGGGGCACCATATGTCAGAACATGTTCTTAATTTTAAAGGTATTTTTTGGTTTTTGATAGTATATGAGAGTTTTCCGAATGCAGCCCATCCCATTCTTATTCTCCTGGTTATTTCTTTATTCTGGTTACTTTTGTCTGCTCTGATAGCTTGTTCTAAGTAAATATATTCTTGGACGTGTTCTATGTTTCTTCCACCTTAGGTATATGTTTAAATCATTGCCTTATATGTTTAAATCACTAAGCCAATCACCAAATCATATTTTTTTATTGGCTAATTAGTTAGGACCATTAGCTTAAATTAACGTAATAATGAAAAAACGCATGTTGTTTATATACTAAGTGACATAAAAATCCGAACACCCATTATAAAATATTATATTAAATTGAAGCTTCTTTACTGGAGTTGTTTCACTCTTTCTAAAATGCTAAGTACAGCGTCACGAAAGAAGCGCTACGAGGCGGCGTCACGAGTAGCATAAGGAAATAACGGTCTTCACTTCGAGAAACTACTCTCCATTAATTCGTTTCTAGTCGTCGTATATTTATTCCAAGCAGATTAAAATTAAATACTGCATAAAAAATAACCAATAAACTACAAACATAAAACGTAAAAAATTTAATGAATATCTGTCAACAAAAGATGTGGTAAAACAAATAGAAAAATAAACTACCGATACTAGAATTCGGTTCGTAACGATTGTTGAACGGTCCAAATTGTAAAGTTATAAATATCATCCAATAAATAATGTTATTGAATAACGTGTTTAAATTTTTATGACGATTTTCGTTTTAAAATAATTTCATATAAATATTATATAATATTTTTATAATTAACAGTTGGACTGTTATATTAAAGTGCGACAAAAAGAGTTATTAGTAAAACATTTAAGGCTAATCCTCAAAAATCCTAACGGTAAAATTCAGTGCGATATCTATTTCAAAAATATCTTTCTTTACAAAAACAAGATCCATTCACGAAAAATATTCTAATCGTCATGTTGTACTAGAATTTACCTTTATACCAACTTACAACCCTCTGTGGTGAAAAGTCTTATCTCTATACAATAAAGCGAGTGAGCTTTATACGAGTATACCAGAGTAATATTATTTACTGAATGGTTAACTCACAACTTAGCAAGGGTACATACAAACAAGATTTTGAAGACAAACTTTTATAAAATTTCGTTACAAAATAATGTATAACAAGATATTTTGAGGTCACAGTATTTGTTTTTTATGTCTTATATTTTCTTGTGTTACTTTTTTTACTGAGAAATTGGCTTTCAACGTAGATTACAGTTTGATGATAAATATTCTGAAATAGTAAATGTTGAGATGTGGCAATTAAAAACATTCATGAAATTAAAATGAAAGAACTTACGTTTATTAGTAGTGCGATTTATAAAATTAGTACTTAAAGCCCAAGTGACGCGACGGGAGGAATATGTGCATCGGTTTTCAAATATTTATTATTTACTATATAATTTCTAAGTTGAACCATTTTTACTTCTTTAGGTAACAATGTATCTGCTTTGACAACCAAATACTAAGACAAAATAATGAGTAATATTAATTTCAAAAACGGAAGTTTAAAGAATTAGAAGGAGGTAGTCCGGGCGCAGTTAAACCGTAAAGCTGATTCCAGTGGAAGCAATAAGGAGGATTATTTTTCGTTTTGGCTCAGCTGACATGCCCTCTCTAGCACTACAACCCATAAAACTGTGGCAAAAAGCATGCTTTTATTTACACGGTTGTGAAACGAGACGATTAACAGAGACACCGAAGAAAGATATGTCGCCGAACTGGATACAATAAAGAATGAGAATAGAAGGTACAGTCATGGATGGCATACAACGAAAGCAGCTCAAATGGTACGGACATGTCCAATTATTAAAAGACAATAGAATCCCGAAATAAGTACCTCTATGAACACCTACAGAAATCCAGAAGAGAGGACTACTTTAGAAAATACGGAGGGAAGGAATCATAAACTCAATGAGCTCGAAAGAATTTGAAGAATAATGGAATAACCAAATTGAATAAAAAATGGACGTCGGAAGACATTTTAAAGAAATTATATCATATTATAGGTACATTATTATATCATATTATATATATTTATATAATATATTATATACACGATATTGAAGGAGATGACAATCAACAAAATCTACATCGTCAACAACACAGTAAAGACCCAACAATAATAGAAGTGTCAAATGCCGTCCTAAAACTCAAAGACAATAAAGCTACAGGAATCGATTAAATCTGTTGGGAACTGTATAAAAAAGGTGCTGATCAACTTTTTGCAGTAATCCATAAACTAATAGTACTTATATGGCAAAATGAAATGGTACCAGAAGAGTGGCTAAATGAAATAATATGCGTTGCATAAAAAGCGTAATCAACTGGATTGAAAGAACTATAGAGGCATTACTTTGTTAGCAGCTGCGTATAACATGTTCGGAAATGTATTGTTTAAAAGACTTAAATATTTTACAAATGATATTGTTGGTCAATATCAATGCGGATTTACTGCTGCAAAATCAACTATACATCAAATTCAAGCACATGGGTAGATTCTAGAAAAATCACTAGAATATAACAAAGATACACACTATTTCTTCGTCGACTTCTAAGCAGCCTATGACATTGTTACAAGAACTGCTTTATATAATGCAGTGATAACCTTTGGTTGGGATCCCACCAAAGTTAGTTAAGTTGACCCAACTAACAATACAAAATGTAAGCTCGTGAATTATAATTGAAGAAGAAAACTCTACGTGCTGTGACGTTAATGATGGTCTAAGAAAGGGGGAGGCGCTGGCGTGTCTCCTCTTTAATGTTGCCTTGGAAAATGCAACCAGAAAATTAAATATTAGAATAAATGTAACTATTTTTAATAGAACCATGAGAAACAAGTGTAGTGTTTTACAAGGCTTGCGGACGCAGCAGGTGAATTAGGACTTGTGGTAAACGTATGATATATCTAATAGCCATCTTCATGTATTTGGAAACTATTAGAATTGCACAGATTATTTTTGTCACAGAAAATCATCAAAAACAGATTATACAATACCAATGAACGAACGTAGCCTCTTGAAAGATATTAGCTCATGTGCGGCAAGAGTAAAATTTAATGCAAATAGTCTTATAAATAATATGAGTACCAATTTAAAATTATTATTATCAAAAATTATTGTTGTCTGTTTAAACAAACTAGACTATTGAATAATTAATTATTATATAAACAAATTACATATTTGTAATGCACGTAGAAATTACATACAAATTTAAAAAATAATGATCAAAATCCATTGAGTAGATCCGGAGATATAGAATCTTTTATTAGTTCGAAATTGTCCGTTATTTAAACTCCATGGATTTGTAGGTTCTTCCTAGTCACCATTTAAACTACATTTTTGAAAATTCGTGTAAAGTTCTGTAAAGGTACAATGTTTGTGCAAGTTTTTAACATAAAACACAAATCACACTCTTTAACATGGCGTCAATGAGGTTCCTTAATTATTATAATCAAATTAGCTGTGAACTAACAAAAAAACATGGTTAACTTTCGCCCAAATTAACCTACGTCAAATTTTTTATTGCAAAAACATTCAAAGTAACGAATTGACTTTTCAACTTACAAAAATCGGCATTTTGAAGCTTTGTCAATATTCTAAAAAATAAAATTTTGTAAATTTAGTTATGCCCAGAATTGTTAGGAACGGCCTTAAGTTGAATTTTAATAGCTGTGCTTTGGGAGAGATTTCTAAAGCAGCACATATTAAACATGGATTTTTACGAAATAGCACTAGTAATAGCAATAGTAATCAAATACCGATACTAACGAATTATTGAAAACATGGGAAAACTACTATGGCGAGCTATATAAAAATAAAGAGGTACCAGCAGAAAATTAGTGGTTTTCTAACTAGAGAACCTACTGTCTTACTAGCTAAAGTCAAAGATGCAATTAAATTGGTAAAGAAAAATAAATCTGCAGGCATTGATTCAATACCAGGTGAAATACTACAGTTACTAGGTAACAAAGGATTACATAGAATCATCATCCATTCTATCTGTTTCGCTGTTTGGAATTCAGGAAAATGGTCATCTTATTAGTGTACCTCAATATATATTGCGCTGCATATAAAAAAAGAACTACTAGATGTGAAAACTACCGCACACTGCCAATACTACCAC